TGCAGCCTGGAAGGCCAACTATGTCCTGAGCTGCTTTCAAAAAGGGGTGGCCAGCAGGGAGAGGGAGGTGATTCTCCCCCTCTACTCTGCTCTTGTGAGACCCCATCTGGAGTACTGCGTCCAAGCCTGGGGCCACCAGCACAAGAAAGACGTGGAGCTCTTGGAATGAGTCCAGAGGAGGGCCACAAAGATGATCAGAGGGCTGGAGCACCTCTCCTATGAAGAAAGTTTGAGGGAACTGGGCTTGTTTAGCTTGGAGAAGAGAAGGTTCTGGGGAGACCTTATTGCAGCTCTCCAGTATTTGAAGGGAGCCTATAAACAGGAGGGGGAGAGACTGTTTTTGTGTGTTGATAGTGACAGGATGAGGGGGAATGATTTTAAACTAAGAGAGGGGAGATTTAGGTTGGATGTTAGGCAGAAATTTTTCACTCAGAGGGTGGTGAGGCACTGGAACAGGCTGCCCAGGGGAGCTTTGATTGCCCCGTCCCTGGAGGCATTCAAGACCAGGCTGGATGGGGCCCTGGGCTGGTTGGCAACCCTGCCCACAGCAGGGGGTTTGAAACTAGATGATCTTTAAGGTCTTGTTCAACCCAGGCCATTCTATGATTCTATGATTCTACCTCTGTCTGGTGCTCTTTCACTCTTCTCTCTGGCTATATTCTCAAAATATTTTCCAAGCGGACGTGCACTAGCTTTGCTTTTATTCTCACCTGGCTGAACCTGAGCTAAAATGTGCTTCTCAGTTCTTTTCCCTCACTTAGCAGCACAGTCAGAAAAACACTTAAAAGGTGCTGTATACATATATACTCCCCCTGAATCTTGCATACATTTTCTGCTGTGGCTTGGTTAAAAAAAAAAATAAAATTGTGTCGTGTGGCACCATTTCCTGCAGTATGGGACTTTCCTAGAATATTAGAGCTGTGGGTTTTAGCCCTTTTAACCTGTTTTTCCGGAGCCTGTGTAAGTGCTTAGTAGATTGTGCGAACTGTGGGTGTCATTATCTGTGCCCTTTGGCAGTCTTTGTTTTGAAAAAAAAAAGCCCGTGCTTATTTTAATGCAAGTACCTGTGCTTGTGAATGAGGTTGGTGTGCTGTATGTGTGCTTATCGAGCATGGAATGAGGCTTGGCAGGGAGCTGTTATGATAATTGTGTCCTTCAGGGGTTTTTACAAGGGGGGGCCTTAATTTCTGAATCCTACATACCCTTAAGTGCAGGCCAGAGGCTGAGCCCCTCAGCTCATGCAAGATGGCAATGCCTCAAAGAAACTGAGATAGCAGGTCTTTAAGTAGCTACATAAGTTTTGTGGTCAAAACTCCTTTATCTGTGCACTCTCAGGCACCTCATCCTCTTGGACTTAAGTGTCTAAATTCCACCTAACATTTGAAAAAGAAAATTTTGTAAGATATTTTCTCAGTTTTTCTGCCCTGATGATAATGTTATAGTTATTAACAGTATTCCTGTTAATTGCAGCAAAAAACACTATGCATCCACCAAACTTCTTGTATCCCAGTGGTGTGGTGATCCTTCAAGTGGAACTTGGTGAGTTTCAGTTCCTCATCTGAAAGTGAAAGAAAATGTTTAAGTGAGATATTGATAAATAACGATAGATCTTGATAAAGCAAAACAGCTTTGCTGTCTAGGAGCATGACAATTTTATATAAAATGTAATTTTTTCTTGATATGTATATTTGTGGACATTAAAGGAAGCATGTGTTCTACAGATCCTAGGCTATTTAAGAGAGAAATATTCTGGTGACGTCCATGTATGATTTTCCCATGCTAATTTGTTCCAGGAAAGCCACTTGAATTGGAATGCCGTGTACAGTTTGGATTTGAAAGAGTTTCTCAGATGAGGGTAACATGGAAAAGAAACCACAAAGAAAATATAAATGAGAAATTGAACCAGGAAACAAGGTAAGAAGAAACCCAGCAGTCTGATTACTACTACAGTCAGCAACTGTAAAGTTCCTTCTACAACAGCTTTCCTGAATACATTTTACAGAAAGAAACTCCTAAGGCTCTGTTCTTCAACATATGGATGTATGCCCATGAGTATGGGACAGGCGTGTGCACTTCACATCCAGAAGCACATGTTGATGGCTATAAAGTCAAGAACTCAAAACTTTCTGCACAATCTTAATTCTTCTTCCTAAAGTTTTAGCTCATGGACGGCTGCAACGTAAATGGTGCTTGGTGGCCTATGTCTGCATCAGCTGTTTTCAAGCATTCCCTCTGTTTTGCCTTGCTAGCAACTCGCATGATCTGTCTTTGGAAGCTGTCTCTGAGTGGGGAATAAACCAGATCAGTAAAACAGTATTGTGGACATTGAAAGGAGTTTGGGTGCCTCAGACGTTGGGGTGTGTTTATTGAGTCAGTCTGAGGACTTGCAGCACTGAACTTCAGGACACCAAATTTCAGGATTCTTTTCTGTCAAGAATTAACCAGGCTCTGCAGAGAAGCAACATATGGGGGAAAGGTTTCCTGTGACTTGGGGGCAGCTCAAATAGCCACCATTCTTCCCTTTCCCTTCTGTACTTCCTTGCCTGATTCACTTACGCAGTGTCCAACTTGCGCAAGAACCGTAGAGGAGGCAATGTAGGCAAGTGTGTCTTTCACTACACAGCCCTGAGTCATCTTTATGGGAAAACTTTTCTGTACACTGGAGGCAGCAAAAGCACTGCTGCCACTGTTAAAATCTAATTCTTAATAGGCGTCATATGGGGGGGAAAAAAAGAAATTATGATATCAGACACACACATGCACACACACTCTCACTCATGAGGTAGATTGGAAATTGGATTTTCCTAACTTTTGAATGTTCAGCTTTGTAATGTTCTTCTTACCAAGCTTTTAGCTTTTTTGCGTGCATGCAATTTCTGTTTGTTTATTTTTAAAAAATCCAAGTGAATAAAACATTCCCAACAGACTTTCAGTAGAAGTTGAATCCTTGCCCATGCTCACATCTGTGTATCCTGAGTTAACAGAAGTAGGGCTGTGGTAGACTGTCACTTTGCAGTGGCATGATGTGAGGTGCCTTCAGGACCAGTCACAGACACCTCTACTTGTGGCTTTCAAAGAGAAGTGCTGAGACTCAGAAACTCTGGGTGTTCTTGAGTGCTTGAAGACACAGATCAGCCCCAAAGGGATTCCTTTGTTACCTCTTAATTTTGTATACCTCCATGTCCTATATCTGTTTTATTCTGTTTGCCAACCCTGTCACTGGGCTTTTTACCCCTGTGCAAGAGGCTGTGCTGCTCAGTCTTTTTGCCCAGCTAGTCTTCTTTTAGGACTCCTTTATGAAGTTCCATTTCCCTGCATTTCCTCTGGGGGAATTTTTTACATTCTATAAAAACACAATCTTACAGAAGCCGAAGGAGGCTATATATTTAAAACTAGGCAAGTGCTTAAGGGTTTGGCTGAGTTGATGACTTAAGAATAAACCTTTCAGTTTGCAGATCTTTGATGTTAATATTTTCTTACAATGTAAAAAACGAACATAAGTTCCAAACCAGAATATTGCATTGCTGTTAAACGTTCAAGCTGAATGTTAAAAAGTTGCAAGCTCCTCTTTCTTCGCATTTAAGATATTTGGGGACTGTGTGAATCAACAGAAAAGGTATCATGCAAATACACTTTTTTTTTTTTTTTCTCTTTAGAGTTTATTCAAAAGGCTTAAAGGGGCACACAGTTCTTCATGTTGCAAAACTGAAAGAAGTTACTGAAACAGACCTTGGAAGTAACTTCACATGCTTTGCTGAGAATTTGGTGGGGAATGCCACCGCTGTGATCCAGCTGAAAAGAAAGCAGAGAGGTAAAACTATCATTGGATGGCTATTTTCCCTTGAAGACACAGTTTGATTTACTTATTGCTACAAATTCATTCCCCATTGACACTGGCTTTTTAGCCAGTTGCAGAAGTTTCTTGAGGCTGGATGGGAAAAGTTTGATTTGTCAGATGTCTAGAAAGGCATATTACTCAGAAGGATGGGTGTATCTGGGGACTTACTGCAGGAAGGTAGGCCAAATGGAAGCTGGAGAGTAACTGGGAGGAAGAAGAGGATAGTAGCATCTCTGAACAATAAGCAATCTACTAAACTGAAGCAGAGCGGCTGCCGAAAGCAATAGTATTCCTTGATTTTCATAGGACACTTCTGTGTGTTTCCCTAGTCCTTAGCATGCATGTTTCTGAAAAATTACTGTAACTGACATGAATGCGGCAGCCTTTCAAGGAAAAGCCAGAATCAGTACGGAAATTAAACCGTTGAACCATAGTTCGCAGTGGAGACTCACCATTGGAGTTGCACAAGAAGTCTTCAGCAGGGCCCTGTGTGCAGCTTTGTGTGCTTTGATGTGACTTTTTTATCTGAAACGATGACTACTTTCAGCCCTGCTGAGTACCACAGAATGTTTTCTCTGTTCCTTCCATCACAGATTGGCTTTTCATACCATCAAGGAGATACATTCAGAAAAAGTCCGTTATGGTAGACTAAAACTCTGTGTTAAGGGTTGCAGCTAAATTAATTCCTGACTTCCCTAAAGTCTGCCAGTGGGGCAAGATTGAAGATTGTGAGATGGTTTGCCCCCATTTCTGGACTGAGTTTTTCATCTAGGTGTCAACATTATTTTGGAAAGCCTGAGTTATGACAGACCCTTTTCTTTCTACAGTGTTTCTCTTTTATGTACTATGCAGTGCCATTTCTACTCTATTTGCGTTCCTTTTGTGCACTGCCTTTATTTACCAGCACTGGATTGAAATAGTGCTGATGTACCGAAGTTATCTGGTCCACAACGAAACTACAGGAGGTAAGAAACATTGTATAATATTAATCTTCTTCAGTTTTTCTACTGACTTTTGCCATGTGGGTTATTCTGGTGTGAATTAACCATTTAATGACCCTGTTCTCTTTGAGCCAATACAAAGGCTGTTAAAGCCAGCAAGATGCTCAGTGGATTCAGATGGAAATAAAGCCAGGCAGCATGGAGGAAATATCTAACACCAACTGAAGTGTCACAGTTAGCCTTTTAAAAGTTCCCTAATTTATCCATGAAAGATTAGAGCAGGAAGTTGAATTTTGGTGGTCCCTTTGCAGGGAATAATGGAGTACTTCTAACCTCATTCTCTCAAAGTGTTCAACAGAACCTGTGGACAAGAATCAAATGTCCTTACAGAACTAAGTGAAGGACTCCAGAATCTATTGTAGTTCAGTTCTTTGAAGTGAGCAGTGCATCAAGAAACGACAGTGCCTACTTCAAAGATCTTAACATATTTTCTTACATGGGTTGCGTCATGGTTTTACCAGGACAAGTTGAAAGAAACCTGATAGCATGGGCCCAAGGAAATATTTCTAAAAATACTTTAACGTCGATGCAGTTTGATATATAGGCGTCTGAGTTTCCTTTTGTGTTTGCATGTGTATATGTAGATTTTACGTGAATTTGAAATAACTGTATATAGATATCTATAAATATATACACAATGAGACAATTAGTTGCCCATTCTGGAAAGTATTTTTGTGAACCCTAGGGCAGCTGGCAAAGGCAATTTGGGAAATCACTCAAATTTCCCCTCTATTTGGTAACAAATTGATTTAAGAACCTCTGGAAAGTCCCCATAGAGCTCACCCCATATGTCAGTAGGACAGAGACAGACCTGCCAAGATTTGCACACTGAAGTTGAAGACGCTGTTGGGTTCCACCGTGGCAGCCTCTGTCCTGCTCCCCAACTCTAGTGTCCATCATGCACACAGCACCATTTGCAGAGTGGCGGCATGGAGTGTGCAGAGCAACAGTACCTATCCAGATACTCTTCTGCCTGAGGTTATTGGCCATAAAATGTGTTCTCATCTGCAAGACTATGTCCTTCTCACTTCATGTGGATGAATATCAAGTCACCTGAGGTCTGGAAAGGCTTGCTCATGGAGCAGCAAAGCAGCAGTTATTGATCTTATTTTTCCATTTCTTCCTTTCCATAATTTATTTTCTCTCATCCCTATAAGCACAGAATCAGAGAATTGCAGAACCCAACAAGGTTGGAAGAGACCCCTGGGAGTTGTCTGATCCCACACCCTGTTCAAAGCAGAGCCAAGCTAGGCCAGGTTGCTCAGGACTTTGTGGACAGAAAATCCACAACCTCTCTGGACAACGTGCTCCAGTGTTTGACCACTCTCACAGTGCAAACTTTTTCACTAACATATAATGAGAATTTCCATTGTTGGAACTTGTGTCTATTGCCTCCTCTTCTATTATTGTGCACCTCAAAGAAGAGTCTGTCTCCATCATCTCTGTACCTTCTCATTTGGTAGCTAAATAGAGCAGTAAGGTCACCTTTCTTGTTGCGCCTCTCTAATCCTCGGGCTTCCTCCTTAGACAATTCAATATATCTCTTAAAAATCTTGCCTTCTTCCACAAGGTGAAAGAAACAATGCAGAAGTTGTGATACTAACATTTATAGACCACGTATGCAGTCACTTTGCTTAACTTAGGTATTCTTAATTTCCTACCCTTTGGGCATCTTAAACGTTTGTACCAAAAGTTCCTCAGGTGGTAACTGTCCTTCTGTACAATTCTGGGGAAAAAAAAAAAAAATCCTAGTGGTTCTTACTGTGTGTTTGGTTTGAAGAAATCTTGCTATTGTAATAGTAAAATTATAAAGGAAAACAGTGATGTATTTATTAATGGTTGTTGTCTAATGAGATTGCAGTGACCTCTCTGGGTGAAATGAGGAATATCTGTCTTGTAGGGCAATTTATTGCCATTTTAAAACTGTTTTCAAATGAGTTTGAATTCAGAGTGTAGCTGAATTGAGGTTCAGCTAAACGAATCTAGTGACCTCTGCCCCACCTTCAATTCCCACACTAGCCCTGCATGCCTGCTGGTGGTGATTCACTCTTGTGGGCCTAAATTGGCTCAACTTGGCACAGAAATAACTCAGTAAAAGACAGTGAGTAGCTAACAAAGTGCATCAGCTTCCTCTGTTACCACAAGAGTTTCAGCACAAGCAGGGGGAAGTGGTGGAAGCGTGTTGCCAGGGGCAGAGGGGAAGAGCAGAGATGTCACGGGTGTTGTCTAATCATGTCCTTGGCCTCCAAACCTCATCTGCACACCTATGTTTTGTTTTGACGACACACTTTCTGTTACGTACTGGTTCTGAATGTGGGTGTTCAACCCCAGCTCATGCAGGTTGTTAGCCTTCCGTGTGTACTCCCTTTGCTCCCTGGAATCCATATGGGCTCTTCTAGATCTTGTGGGAACCTGATGGCTCTTGCTCAGGTTTGTGATCCTAATCTTATAACTGCGGATAGAAATCAGGAGGTTATCACTGAGGTATGGGGTGATACTCAACACCATTACTTGGGTGTCTGTGCTGGAGGTAGGTGTCTCAGTTCCCATGCAGTGAATATGTAGTTGATAGGGTGAAATCTAGAGAGCTTCTCAGCTCACCCTGCAGTGGCACCCTGCCGTAGGACCCTGCACTAAACAGCTGAATTTCTTTCTGGTTTCTATTAACTGTATTGACATAGGATGCAATTCAGCTGATTGAACATCGGTGTCCAGTGTCATTTGGGCTGTCTGAGGATGTCCTGCCATTCCAAGAGATATGAGTCTTCAATAGCCCCCATGTCAAATATGGCAAATGTGTCCCCTCAATCTTAGGACACCTTAAATGTTATCAAGCAACTGCATATGGGGAACTGGACTGAGTCCACTGTGCCTTTTGCTTTCACCAGAAATTAATTTTGTTTTCTTTCCTCCTTGCTCAAGTATAGTTCAAATTTTATTTAGCAAATAGATAATATTTGCTTTTGCCTTGTAGTTAAGAGTGGGCCTAACTCAAGTCACTGGTACCAGGGTGTTTCAAAGCTGAGAAAAGTTATTTATATTTTTTTCATCTGTGTCTCACAAACATATTCTTTTAAAGAGACTGAAACAAAGTTCGGGAACTGGTCAGGACTCAGTGTCTGAGCTGATACTTGGATTAGATTTAGGCTTTGCTACTTGCAGCAGTCTCTCTGATTAGAAACATGTGTATGAAAATAGCATGTCTTTTGCAAGCAGCTAATATTTAAGAACATTGTTCCTTTAAAATTCAGTATATTTTCAAAGTAGGTTGTGCATTGATGAGTATTTTTGGAATCAGCGTCTGAGTAAATGAGAGAAAATATTTGGAAGCATTCCCTA